TTGTATCATCTGCGAATTTCAGAACTTTAACAGAAGAGACTTTTGAGGTGCAATCATTGGTGTAGAGGGAGAAAAGCAACGGGGAGAGCACACATCCCTGAGGGGCGCCTGTACTGATTAACCGAGTACTGGATATAGTTTTGCCTAACCTCACATGTTGTTTCCTGTCTGTCAGAAAGTTGATTATCCACGTCAGGGGTGATCATGAGGGCTGTTGCAGCGTATACAACTGTACTGGACCCCGGAAAAGTGTTCTCCCAAGCAGAGTAGCACAGGGAAGCAGATTATGGGATGACAATGAAAGCAAAACGTCTATGGCTGACTGCATCCAGTTCTTCATCCCATTTTGAGACCACCTCATGTCTGCTTTGGGCCAAGAATGTTCAGATGGCCACATCCCCCCATAGGTTAATACCATTCCATGTTCGCCAAGGGCCATTCTCCTAAGCAGAATGTTCCTGTATAGTGTTGCTTTTCTGTGGACTGACAAAATGATCTGGGAATATTTCCTCTAAAGCACCCCATCTCTTCTTGCTCCTCATCCTCTACCTCATTTTGAGGAATCCATCTGCAATAATAGTCTAGGCTACTGGGGTGGGGCTTCAAACCTGACATTGTGTTGGAGCCACAGGTTCCTTAAAGTAGTCCTGATGGACAGGAAATCCTCTCTATATATGTCTGAATCCCAGCTGGTCACATCAATAGCCATCTCAAAAACTTATGAAATGTACATGTCAGCCAACTCCCAATGGCTCTGAGCTTGTATCAGTCTTAAACAAAGACTGTAGGTCTTTACCAAGGTTATAGGTATCTCACAAAAGTCTACCATGTGGTCCTGGAAACATTCCAAAGTGCTTACCAAATTTTTATTTTTAAAATGATGGGAAAAATTATTATATACATGACTGTAATCATATTTGAATTCATTTTTTAATACTGACATTTGATTAAAATTAAACGTAATTTTTATCTTGACACCAGCCACTTCTCTTTACAGGTATATCGGTGGGTGGGTTTGGGGGTGGGAAGGAGGTAAAGAAGTCAAGATGGCATCTGTGACTGTGTGATTGAAGCCACACCCCCTTTTTATGGGCATCACCTATGTGACACATGTAAAAACGTTGTGGGCCTGCAATCACATGGCCACAGCCACCATCTGTCTTTTTGGAAGACAGCTTCAGCATGCTGCCCAAACAATCCATGTGGTCCTTGGTCCACAAATGTTGTCTACTCATGATCTTAAATATCATGGTGGAACTGCAATTTTAGACTGGATTCTCTCTCCTCCCTCTCCTTATCTCATATAACTTAATTGAATCCTTTTTTTAGGTATGTTCGGTCAAGGACAAAGCATGATGTGGACATGAGGATTGGCATACACTCTGGATCTGTGCTATGTGGGGTCCTGGGTCTGCGAAAATGGCAATTCGATGTGTGGTCATGGGATGTCGACATTGCAAACAAACTTGAGTCAGGTGGAATACCCGGGTAAGTGGAATCTGGTCAAATGGTGCCATTGTGTTCTAGATTTTGAGTCTTATCCTTACAGCAGGAATACTAAAGTTTGGGCTTTTCCAATGCCCTGTCTGTGTGGAATAAAAACTACTGCCTCTCTTAAACCTCTCAGTTACAAGCACTGTTTTCTTGGATCTGCTCATCATTCTGATAAAGGAGTTTCTCAATCAGGCTTTATATCAACAATGGTATACCGGGAAGGTGTTGGACTCATCCTGGGAAGATCCAAATTCAAGTCCACTCTCATCCCTGGAAAGTCACTGGGTGGCTTGGGGGGCAGTCATTATGTTTCATTCAGCCCACATCACAGGCCTCTAGTTGCCGAGATAACATTGAAGGAAGGCGTGCTATGTACACGGCTTGAAGTTCCTGAGATCTAGCCTCTTCCTGGCTCCTCTTGTTGAACTTTAATGACTTTGGGTATCTGTATATCACAGAGAGCCGTGGATTTATTAGACCTCTTTGCTCATCAGGGAAGTCAGGGGTTGTAGAAGACTACTAAATAATCAGTAGTGAGGAATTTGCAGAATCCTCTTTAAAATCCCATGCTGCAGAATCAAAAACATGACTCTGGTCTAAAATTCATCTGAGTTTGCAGTGCAGAAACAACCTTTGCTGCAAGGGTAAACATACAATTTTATACTTATGCTCTGAAGTATAATAGCGCCAAGACATTTGACTGCTTGATCTTCTGTTCAGAGAGATATCCATTTTTCTTTCTGGCATTTCATAATTCTGGACAAAGCCCTTTATCTCTCTGCTGGCCAGACTCAGCTGCATGTCACTGATCTCTGCATATCAGAAATTCTGCAGTCATTGGAACAAGGATGCCTCTCTGCAAAAGATCCTGATAGCTTAATAACAATGCTTTCTACCCAGGGTGGAAGTTCCCACATGCACAAAACTTCATAGACCTCAGGCCCATTTCAACATTACTGCTAGTCATGCAGGCATAGGTAAAAAGGAGTTCTTTTCTACCTAGTGTTATAATATCAGAAGATCAACACCAAATGGGAGGATCCCACATTACGATATCTTTTCATGCCAATTTTTATCTAGTTTCTCAGAGCCACATTTAGATCACCTTACACATAGGTAGAAAATGGTAGCGATTCTGGAAAGGAGCATCACTCTGAGAAACCTACAGGTCTGTTCTATAGAAATTCCCCATATGACCCACAAGTGTTTCAGGAAGGACTTCATAATCTACTCTTAAACGGCTTTTTCTTTAATAGTTTAGCCCTCTATCACCAGGGAAAAGTTTTGTTTTTTTCTGAAAATCTGACGTCTATCTGCAAGGCCATTGTACCAATGGAGTCTGTTTGGAAGTTGGCTTTTTTTATTCCCCCTATGGGAGAGGGTCCTTTTGGGGTGACATTGCCGGAGACTGAAAGGCATAGTCATCCCTAGTGTTATAATCATTTTGAAAAATTGTATTGCCTTCTCATATTTTTTTTCTCAAGAAGTCCCAATTTGCTCTCCCTTGGGATGGGGTGAGGATTGTGTTGAGAACGTTCACAGTGTCCACCTCTGAAATTTCAGAATATGGGGACAGCCTACCCAAATGTTTTCTCCTATGTATCTCTGATAACATCAAGACACAAATAAGGTTCTAGTACAGTGTTTCTCAACCATGGCAACTTTAAGGTATGTGGACTTCGGCGCCCAGAATTCCCTAGCCAGCCATGCTGGCTGGGGAATTCTGGGCGTTGAAGTCCACATATTTTAAACTTGCTAAGGTTGAGAAATACTGTTCTAGCAGCTTCCTTTTTCTATCATTCTTCAGACTGAACCCAGGCACATTTCAGCACCACAGCTTATCCAACCCATGGATTGCCTTCTACATGTGCATTTTAATGGAAATCAATGTCTCTTTTTTCCCTGTCTCTGTTTAATCAAATGAATAGGCCAATTAAAGTGCTGGTTTGATTTTCACCAACATGCAAGCTTATATGAGCTCTCCAAGTCAGGGCAACATTCTTCTGAGTTAAAATGGACTCAGGTTTCACTTCTTTTGAATTATGAGGGTAGATTGAACTCAGGGCAGAAAATTCTGGACAAAAGTAGCATAGAAGCAACTTAATTATCTTTTCTGATCTTGCCTATCTCTCCATGCATCTGGAATGAGCCTAGACTCTCCTACCCACTCAAAAGGAGTGATTCCTTGGTCAGTCCAGGAAGTGCTGTCACCCTTAGTACGAGAGGCATTTTTGCTGTTAAAAGGAAGAAAGCTTCCAAGAGTCCCCACCTTACCCCACCCTAAGCACTTTATATACTTGCAAAAGAAAGTTTGCTTGTTTGTTTTTTTAGAGAAAGATTCATGCTAGCTGGATTTTGTTCTGCCTAGTATTGCTCTCAGGCTAGAAACCGGGAGATGGTGAGTTCTAGTCCGGCCTGAGGCCTGAAGCCAGCTGGGGGACCTTGGGCCGGTCCCTCTCTCTCAGCCCTAGGAAGGAGGAGGCCAGGGCCAACCACTTCTGAAGAAAAACCTTGCCAGGAAAACTGCAGGGACTAGTCCAGGCAGTCGCCAGGAGTCAACATTGACCTGAAGGCACGTTCACACAGTATTGCTCTAGCCACGGATTCGCTGAGAGCTAAACATGGGAGCAAATCTACTCCCAACAGAAACTGCCGCAGAGCCTTTTCCAGCTTCAGAAAGCTTTTGCAACATTTTACCTTGGTGTCACTCAGAATTTTACACTTGCGTCTCATTTCCGTCCATTCCATTCCTTCTTTACATCTCTTTAGGCGAATCCACATATCGAGGGCTACTTTAGACTGCCTAAATGGGGATTACAATGTCGAGGAAGGACACGGCAAAGAACGCAATGAATTTTTGAGGAAGCACAACATTGAGACGTACTTGATCAAACAGCCTGAGGAAAGCCTGCTGTCTCTACCTGAAGATATTGTCAAAGAAGCTGTCACTTCTTCAGACAGGAGGAACAGCGGAGCAACGTTCACTGAAGGATCCTGGAGCCCTGAACTGCCTTTTGATAACATCGTGGGAAAGCAGCATGTAAGTTCAACATTCCTCCTTAATATCACCTGCCACATAGCTTTGACTTCACTTCCATATCTAAAGCCTGCTTAGCCTTTCTTCTAACTGGCAACAGCTAATTAAAGAATCTGCCGCTGGGCAGAATTAACCTTTGTATCAGAAACTGTCAGGGCTCCTCTTCTCTGAGCGTTAGCTGAATTGGAACCATACCAGAGTTCATTGCTCTGTCCCACAGAGAGACCAAAAATGGTGCCCGAAGACTTGTAATTCAAGACTGTGAGGTGGGTTGTCCTGTAGATTTTGGGCATTTTCGAAGGTTAATAATTTCTTAATCTGAGGGTTCCATGGACACCAAGTAGAATCATGCCTGACCGTTCTTCACTGAGAGAGAGAAAGAGAGAGATGATGGATGGATGGATGGATGGATGGATGGATGGATGGATGGATGGAGAGAGATGATAGATGGGTAGGCAGGTAGACAGGCAGACAGATAGATGGATATAGGATGGATGGATGGATGGATGGATGGACGGACGGACAGACAGACAGATAGATGGATGGATGGATAGACAGAGATGGATGAAGACAGAGAGAGAGAGTTAGATACTGTAATTAGATACTGTAGATACTGTAGATGATGATGGATGGATGAATGGACAGATACTGTAGCTATATGATAGAGGATGGATGGATGGATGGATGGATGGATGGACGGCAGAGAGAGATGGTTAGGTAGATAAATAGATGAACAGATAGATACCAGTTGCAACTGCCTATTAAATGTCCTAAAGCCAGCCTTAATATTCCTAAACATCTGATGAGGTGGGCAAGTGGTAATTGCCCTTGAAGGCTCTTCACATTGCTGGTGGGAAATTCCAATCCTGAATGCTTCTGTGTACAGGTAGACCTCACTTAATGACTGTTTGTTTAACGATGGTTCAAAGTTACAATGGCCTTGGAAAAAGTGCTTTATGACCTATACCCACACTTACAACTATTGCAAACCATTGCATCACCCCCCACAGTCATGTGATCGTGATTTGCGACCATTTTTACAATGGTTGTAAAGCAAATCACCATGGTCATTAAGCAAATCACATGGTAATTAAGTGAATTCCAGCAAAAAAAGTCCATTGGGGAAGCTGGATTCACTTAACGACCACATGATTTGCTTAACAACCACTGTGATTCACTTTACAACCACTGTAAAAATGGTCATAAAATTGGGTCTGATCATGTGGTGACTCGCTTAATGACCACCCCACTTAATGACCAATTTTCCAGTCCTTATTGTGGTCTTTAAGTGAGGATTACCTGTAATGCAATATCATGAGTGTCCACAGAAGGAGCACAAGTGGAGTGGGGGGAGACAATTGATGAAATGTGCATCAGGATATTGCCTTGCAAACTCCACCCTTTTCGTGTTTGTGTCGTGATGTCACATGCAAGTAGTAAGGGGTGAAGGCTGCAGCAGGCAGCATAGCACATTTTCTCATTTGATTTATTCATCAAATTAATACCCATTGCAATGAACCAAGATTCTCAACTGTTTCTACTAATTAAGAATGGTTCTGTTCTGTTAAAATATTTATAGTAAGACTAAAAACAAGCCACCGCCCCCATTAAATATAAAAGTAAATGTCAGTTCATCCTGGGTGTCCTGGCCCTCACATCAGGCCCTTCAGAACAACTTGGCTTTCCTCGTTTCTGTAGGCCCAGCCTGATTTCTCAGAAGGGTCACCTCTGCGCAATATATGGGTTATTTACATTGTCTCTACATACAGAAAATTGGGGGGGGGGAAATTAGATTCTGTTTCTCCCCCTCATGTAGAGATTTATTTATTCATCCCTTCTGCAAAGAGAGGGGTTCATTTCTATTCAGTCACCTGTGAACACTTCCTGTCCTTTGATTTTGCCAAGTCATGACACAATCAATTGCTTCACCTGATTTATGTGACAAACAAAACCATAATCCGACAGGGAAAATACGGGCCGGGTTTGTGCAATATGCTAGAGACGCCTTTTCCGTCGCTCCGCTGCCCTTTGGGACAACATTCCCCCTGAGATTAGGTTGGCACTAACGTTGCTGGTCTTTCAGAAGACCTTAAGACCTGGCTTTTCTCCCAGGCATGAGGGTTGGAGGTTAGGTGAGGCTGTGAGTTATGGTTATTACTGTCAGTGGTTATTCTCAGGTGCCGTTCTTTTTATTTTTCCTGTGTATTGTTATTTATGATAATATTGGTATTTTTATCTCTGTTTGCCACCCAAGGTTGCTTGGGCAAGATGGGCAGACACATAAATTGATATTATTATTATTATTATTATTATTATTATTATTATTTAAAATGGGACTGGATAGTTTGTGTTTGGTCATGTTGTGGAGATCCAGACTCACCTTAGAATTTGGAGTGAACTCCAAAATATGGTTTCATTGTTTGGGCATAGCTTATTCTGTGAATATAGCATTGGTGTTTTGTGAATCCAGATTTAGAGTTTAGTGTTCTGTGTGACCCCAGTAGTTGTGTGCACAAGAGTCTGTTAACCACACTGTTCCAGATAGTTTACTTTCAAACTGGATGAAGGATTCTGGAATATTTAGACTGGGTGGGAAAATTTCTCTGGAATGTTTTGGGAAGAGGCTGTGCTCTTTTGAACATCCCAGCTATCTACTGTGCTGGTATCTCAAAGTGCTTATTACAAATCAAAATTAGGGAAGAAACTTAGAAATTATATTTCAGCAGTAATTATTCCTCCGTTATATACCTCAGTGGAAAATGTATGCATGCCTACTTGATAAAAACAAAAAATATTAATAATACTATTTTACTTAATGGAAATTCTGCTCCCCTTGAGGCCAAAAATGTCTTTCAAGATAACTTATCAATAAAATATCAATAAAAACAGAATTATAATTAAACATAATCATAGAACGTAAACATAGAAATACAGAAGATTGACTCTAAAGATAGAAACAAAGAACAATGATGCTGAAGCAAAGGATGGCTCCTCCTTCCTATTTAAGTCTAGACAGCAGGATTCTAAAAGTTATTTGGAAAATGAAGGATAGAAAATGGCATTTTCAGGATCACATCACAGAGCATTGCTTGCAAACTGACCTTCTAAAGCTTTTGCCCATGGATTTATCACCCCCTGAAAGTAAAACCATTGCCGTTTCTTTTTCAACTCTCTATTTTTGTCCAGAATCTGTCATTGAGTGGGTTAGGGGGGTTGGATAGAGTAGAGCAATGAATTGAATGCTGATGGTCCTAGTTGGTTCCTCGCTATCTTTTGGGAAAGTTTTTGGATTCCATGTAGGATGAGATTTTTGCAGAACGGCAGCCATGCATATGAAAACAAATATGGACTGTTGTTTAACTCAGCAGAAAATAGCTTCCTTTGGTATAAAAAGTGCTAAAGCTCACCCCAAGGTCCTCACAGAGGTATTTTTGCTCCCCAAGAATAACTAAGTGGCATATTTGGGACACAATTTACATTCCTGCCCCCTCCCGCCCCACCTCAAAGAACTCCAATCTGTATTCGGGCCTTGCTTAGACCAAACTAAAATGGAGGTGAGTAATTTGTGGTTCAGTGTGCTTTAGCGACCAGTTTTTGCTTAGTAAGTTGTATGAATCAAGCCATTACATTAAGTCAATATCATTTATTTGTTTGGCCTAACATATGAAACCCAGGAACTGAGTTTTGTTCATCTGGGTTAGGGTTTAGCA